TCCCTCAGACAGAAACTTCCCAAAGTAAGGCACGAGCCAAGCACCACCTTCTCACTGGAGAGCAATTCCCTGGCTGTTTGCAGGGCCGTATCTGCCACTTCACAGCCACAAGGGTGTTACTGCATTACATCTCACACATTTTAGAGAGGCAGAGATACATTAGACCAACGTGGGGGTTACCTTGTGAAATAAATAGGTGACATTCAGGGTGGAATCAAGACTGGGAACGTTACACTGTGGATGCAGAGCAGTTTTGCCTTACAAAGCTTCTGTTCTCATTTGTAAATTGTGCTTATTGTACTTTGTATTACTGGAATATTGACCAGAATCTTCCTATAACTTTCCACTGAGTAGGCAATGAGGTTTGGGTTTTGTTCTTGTAGATTTTTCACCCCAAATAACGAAGGGGGAGAAAAAGGGAAGAAAATAAAATGTGTAAAATAACATCATTGTGATGGAATCAGACAGGTCCCTGAAACTCATTTCAGGCAAGTATTTGAGACTGGATGAGATTCAAGTTCATCGTGTCTCAATATTATGGTTTAAGGTTGTATGTAAAAACATAATGTCACTCACAATTTAGTAAAGCTGTTAAACCTTTAGCACTTCCTTTCATGTCAGTTTTAACTTAGGTACATGCACAAATTAATCTCAGACAGTACAGTTTTATAAGAATGAAGTTTTCCATGCAAGAAGGAAGCCAGGATGAGCTGTGAAAGAGTCAGGTTTAAATAGTGTACCAAGGAAAAAGTGTTTTCCAGGGCAACAAGAATCATATTATCATTTAAAGAGTTTTTATCCTGCAGTAAAAATAGTTTGCTATTTTTAAGGCCAAAGGAGCAGCCAAACCCCTTATCTAACCCTTTAAAAGATAGGAACCTGTCCTAGTCCTGTGGGATATGAGACTGTGGCTGTGATCCCACAGGAAGATTAAGGTGAAGTGGAGCAAGACTAGGAGCAAGACTAGGTTTTCTGGTGGAGTTAAGCAAAAGGCAGCTCTGTTGCTGTGTAGGCTTTGCAAAAATTCCTATATTCTCCTAACAATCCCAGGAGTTACTCCATGGCTTCCAGAGTCCAACACAGACTTCCTTGGGCTTAACATTCTTGATTTTTTTTTTTTAATTAAAAAGATAACTAATATGGATGAGCTGAACAATTAGGAAATTTTTTGTGGTCGGACAACATCCTGGAAGGTCTGTTGAGGAAGTGTTTGCAACCTGTCTGTGCCACGGGTTGTCACGAGAGGGAGATGACTTCCATAAATAGGCTCCCTGTGTGCCTGGCAGCTTGGATTAAATGTCCAGAGAGCCTAAGGACAGCTGGGCCCTCCCTGAATCCCAACAGGAGCAGTGCTGGTTCTGTGGAATTTGTTCCTGCTGTTTCCAACCCGGGCACTGCAGCCCCTGTCCTTTCCCCAGCGCTCGGAGCCTGGTGGGATCCACAGTGAGGATCCACAGTGACTCGGGAAGTTCTCAGCTCAGCAGCAGCAGGGACTGAGACCAGTGCCTGCCTTTGGGGTTTGGGGCTCTGCTCTGGGATTTACTCTCCCACAGCTAACCCAGCTCTCCGTGTCCATTCCTTGGTTAGTGTGGAAAGCCTGAATTAATTTCCAGTGTGTGCCCTCGGTTGCAAAGAGAAAAATAACTTGGCCAGGAGGGAATAAACTTTCAGTTCCAAATGCATTTGGTATAATCAAAACAAATCCTCACTAGCAGAGCAATGGCAAAACAGAAATATGATGGCTAGAGCAGAAAAATGAGGGAAGAGGAAATCTCTTTTCTGTTGAGGCCAATTCCAAAAAGCTGCTGTCCTTCCTTGGCAGAGTCTTTGTAAGGATGTGTTTGGTTTGGGGGAGATGCCCAGACTTTGGGAGAGTGGAACTGAGTGTGTGAGCACGAGGTAGGTGTCCTGAGGAATCAGGTTTCAAACAAGGGGACTGAAGACCAGGAATTTCAAGCAGGATTTTATTTCAAATGGAATTGATTTGGTGCCCTGGAAGAGGGGGAGGAGCAGAAAAGGGAAACAGAGAATTTAGAGGTGGTGTTTGCATTGCACCTTTGATAGTTAAAATTCCTGACTATTGTTTTGGTGGAACTTGTGGTTTCTTTATACATTTATCCAGATTTCATAACCCAGTACCAACATTTGAGTAGTACGTATTGTGTGATTTGCTGTTTTAATAAATCAGTGTCTTTTCATTTTGCTCTTACCTACACTAGACTAGCACCACTTCCAGACTCCTTTGAGTCAGGGTTTCCTGGATAACTGCTCTCTCAGTTCTGCAGTTGCAGGCAAGCACACCTAAAGATTTGAGAAGTCTGACAAGTAATATACAAAACACACCCACCGGAGTAACACGAAATTGCTGTAATTTCCTAGGGAAAGGGAATAAATCGGTTAAAGAAAGGCCAAGAGTCTTTGGGGGGGAAAGTCTCAACATCTTTGAACTAATAAAAAGCATTTCCTTGAAGTTTGTGAAGTGCTTTGGGGCCTGTGTGGATGAAAGGCTTCACCTGTCTGTCGTTTCTGTGGCTGTGCTCGAGTCCAGACCCGGGGGGTCCTTACACAGGTCACCCTTCAGCTCCCCACCCAGGGACCAATTCATCCCTTCCCCTGGGGGCTCAGGGGTCTCTGTGCAGCAGGTCTGTGTTTCCTTGAAGCATCCTGAGCCCCGTGTGAATGGATCTCAGCCAGCCCAGGTTGCTCACCCCCTCCTTGGGATGTTTCCTCATGCCGAAATCTGGGTCACATCCCAGCGATGAAATGTGCTGACGAAATACCTCTGGTATTACTTGTTTAAAAGCAAACTGAAGAAAATATTTGTTCTTGGTTCCTCTGTCCGTGGATCTGCACAGAGATCCAGGAGTGTGTGAAAGAGCCACCCAGAGCTCAGCAGGGAGGTGTGGGGGAGCTGGGCTGGGACACTGAACCTGCCGCCCCTCAAATCCAAACCCCTGCGTTGGCACAGCACTTAAATCTGGGGACAGACCCCAGCTGTGTGTTGGTCATGTATCCATCTGTATCCACGCCATGCATTGATGCTCTTGCTCAAAATCTAGAAGTTAAAATAATTTACTGCCTTCTTGGCTTTGTGTACAAAACATTTCAAGACAAAAACCAGATAAATAACTTTTTGCCTCCTGTGTTCCTGTCACTGGACTTACACTCCTGACCTGTTTGAGTTGTCTGAATCCTCCAGGGCTCCTCTGGTGTGGAGGCTTGGGGTGGATGGATTTCCACAGTGGTAGTTCTGTGTTATTTCTGAGTGCCAAAATGAATGGGGAGAAATCCTTCAGCACTATATTTAATTTTTCCTGTCACTTATCTCTTCCTATTGTTCGTCGCTATTGTTCTTTTACCATCTTCAACTTTTTCCTGTATCAGAAAGCCCTAAACCCTGTAATTAGATGTGCCTCACCTAATTCCTCTTTTAATAGTCTAGGGAAAAATAGAGAAACAGCAGTGTCATGTGTGGTGGGAAAAAGCCATCCCTAGCTGCAGATTCCAGGTGTGTTCTTAGTTTGAAATATGAGTCATTCACAGGAATTTCTTTCCTGTAGGTGCAGTGTACCTGTGCCACAGAATAACAACAGTGTTCACAGGCAGGGAGCCTGACACTTGGGCTGTGTGGATCAGGATAATGGGATTCATTGCAGCCATAGCTCCTTCAGCTGCTGTGTTTTAAGGGCTCCTTCATTTTATTTTCCTGTCCCACGAACTGTTGTTTGAGCATTCCACTTAGTCCCTCTTTGCCAGGTATTTCTCTTTTGAAGAATGGGTTTTTCCTCCCCTCCCCCTTTCTGGTTTATTTTAACTGCAGCAGGAGCTCGTCCCACATCACCCTGCCCAGGCTGGGTTCCCCTCACACACCTCCCTGCAGAGCCCTGGTCCCTGGTCACCCGGCCAGGGATGGCACGTGGGGGAAATCCAAATCCTGCAGCTTTGAGGAGACAAATTCTCCTACGTGCTTGGACTTGATTGTTTTCACTGTGTTAAGTTTTGTAGCCTGGTTTGTGCTTGGTTCAGGGAAGAACCACAGCAATAATTCAGTAAAAACTCCCCTGCCGAAGGGATCAAGCACTGGGAGAGCAAACTCGTGTCTCTGAGAGGATTGTAGGTACCTGTTGCTAAGTCCATTAGAGATATTTATAACCCCAGGCATGATATCCCGGGTGTGCAGTGAGCCACAGGACTGTGGCAGGGGTGTGCAGAGGAGTTCAGCTCACTGAACAGTAGCAATATGTACTTGCCACTGACAGATATTCCACTGGTTCATTTTTTGTCCACCCAATATTTGTTTCAGTTCTAGAAAAGTCAGGCAACTTGTACCATAGCAAATTCTATGTAACATTTTCATTCTCAAATTGGGATTTGTCTGGTGTGAGTCTTCCTTCATTGTTTTACAGTTTTCTCTCATTCCTTTTTACACGTGTTTGTTTAGTGTGGGCACAGGCCCAGGGCAGGGCCCATCCCTGTGCTGGCACTGCTGGGGCACCTCCAGTCCTGGGGGCTGTTCTGGGCCCTCATGGCAAGAGAGACACTGAGGGGTTGGAGCGTGTGCAGGGAAGGGAAGGGAGCTGGGAAGGGGCTGGAGCAGCAGGAGCAGCTGAGGGAGCTGGGGGGGCTCAGCCTGGAGAAAAGGAGGCTCAGGGGGGACCTTCTGGCTCTGCAACCCCCTGACAGGAGGGGGGAGCTGGGGGGGGTCGGGCTCTGCTGCCAGGGAACAAGGGACAGGAGGAGAGGGAACGGCCTCAGGCTGTGCCAGGGGAGGCTCAGGTTGGATATTGGGAAAATTTCTTCATGGAAAGGGCTGTCCAGCCCTGGCACAGCTGCCCAGGGCAGTGGTGGAGTCCCCATCCCTGGAGGGATTTAAAGGACATGTGGATGTGGCACTTGGGGACGTGGGTTAGTGTGGCCTTGGCAGTGCTGGGGGACAGTTGGATTCCATGGACTCAATAGCCTTAGAGGGCTTTTCCCACCTCAGGGGCTCAGTGACATCACTGGCAGATCACAGAGGTCACAGAACCTTGGCCTGCAGTTGGACCTGCCTGGGGCTGGGCCTCACCCACTCTGCCCACCTTTGCTCAGGATGTGGGGGTTGCTGTGAGCCCGGTGCTCTGCCCGGTGAGTGCTCTGGGAACGGAGCCTCCCGGCACTCCCAGCTTCCCTCCTTCCATCCTCACACCTCTGCCCTCCAGCTCCGGAATCCACCGCCTCTGTGGGCTCTCTGGTGTCCAGGTGTAGCTGCAACACCTTTGTGTGAGATTGAGATATGCCTCTGAACAAACACAGCTGTGTACAGGCTTTGGACTGGTTCTGAAAAACACAATCAGCATTTGTCTGTCTGTGACTCATCCCAGTGCCACCGTTGCCTTTCCCTAAACCTGTTGTGACATTACTTACATGCTGAATGTTACAGACTGTTTATTCTGTCTGTGCAGCAATCAGATCCACACTAAATGGACTGCAGAAAGGCAACTTACATGTTAAATGTTATATTTATTCTGTCTGTGCAACAGTCAGATTCACACTAAATGGACTCCTGAAAGGCAGACACTGATTCCTGTTGTGATAAGCATACAGTTTTCTTTAAAAACCTACTTTTTTTTCAGCTAGGAAAGGCAAATTACTTTCTTACCAGTGTTTCTGTGCATTACACCTCAGATGGATTTCTTGCTACTTCATTTTTCTGCTCCTGATCCATCATATGAATGATTTTAGGCACGTGAGGAGTCCCCTTCAAACCAGCCCAGCTCTGGGCTCCTGGCAGCTGCAGAAGGCACGTCCCCAGCCCAGAGAACAGTGACTGTGAGGCACAGGAGTGACAATACCAGCAGTCCACTGGAAGGCTGGAGATAAATGGGATGCAATCCCTGGAATGGCCTTTAACTCTGCTTTAATAAATATTGCCCTTGCACCAGTCTTGCTGAGTCTAATGTGCTTCCCAAACTTGGCTCTAGTGAAGCTCAGTTTGGGTTCCTTTGCAGAGCTCTCTGTCCTCACCCACACTGAGTGCACAGGCTCATGATTCCTTCTGTGAACACTTCACACAAATTTAGATTTATGCCTCATCTCAAATGTAATGTGGAGACTTTAAATGAAGTACAGTGAGGAACACGGGGTGGAAATGACTTGTCACAGTGTCCAGTTGTTTGGGGCTGGAGCCACCACGCAGTCAGTCCCTTCACTGAGGCAGTGCCACCATCCCAGCTGACGAGGTGGGATCAGTCCCAGGCTGCACTCAGGGATCTCAGAGGTCTTGTCCAGCCTGGACGATGCTGTGATTCCAAGCAGGTCGATTTTTCCTTCCTGCCACTCGGGTGGGAGGGTTGTGCCAGAGCTCACAGATGTGCTGGTTGGCTGTGCCCGTGCCCGGGTGAGATCCCTGTGCTCCCGTGCCACTGTTGTGCTTTCCCCCGAGCAGCTCCTGTGCCATGGGCGAGGCTGTGTGTTGGGATGGCAGAGCTTGGGATGGCAGAGCTTGGGATGGCAGAGCTTGGGATGGCAGTGTTTGGGATGGCAGAGTTTGGGATGGCAGAGTTTGGGATGGCAGTGTTTGGGATGGCAGAGTTTGGGATGGCAGAGCTTGGGATGGCAGAGTTTGGGATGGCAGTGT